CCTGTCCCGGCCCTGCTGGGGACACAGGTAACTCCAGCACAGGTGTGACAAGGGAAGCAGTTTGGTTCCCTCCAAAGGAAGCTGCTCTAGAGGAGGGATATATGGAGGTCCTGTGGAAGCTGGAGTATGTTGATGATGCAGATGCTCATCCTGGCAGAGTCCTGGCTGTGTCAGGTCCTGGCAGCTCACAGGATCTCACAGCATTGTTCTCCCCAGACACTGGGATTCTGATGTACAACCATGCTGTTCTCATGCAAAGGAACTCTGAAATTCCAGACTCCAGGGCCAGGCTAAACCTGTGCTGAGACATTTTTTAATAGATTTTGATCTTCATTCTCTTCCTTTTCCCCTCCATCCAGCTGAATCCTGGAACAGTCCAGGCTAGGTCAGGCTTTGGGAGGTCGTTGCCTCAATCCCCCATGCAAAACAGGGCAGCCTTGGATGTTGGAGTCCTGGAATCCTGGAATGTCTTGAGTTGGAAGGGACCCACAGGGATCATGGAGTCCAGCTCAGGACACCCCCAAGAATCCCCCCAGGGATCCCACATTGTTCAAATGCCTCCAGAGTTGTAGGAGGTTGCTCAGGCAGATTCACTCAAGGTCTGAATTCTGAATTAGTTTTAGGAGTGTATTTGGATAAAGCCAGAGGTCATCTCCTTGCTCTCTTTTTGTGGGTCCCTTCAGTTTGTCTAATTATAAAACTTTCTTCTTTTCCATAACTTGTTTGCAGTTCTCATTTTACCCCTATGGATTCCTGGTTCACAGATGGATTTTGTGGATCAGTTTCCTCCCCCTGTAGTTCTGTTCATCCAGTATTCTGTTATTCATTCCAGTAAATACAGATTAGTTCTTTCTCATGGCATCTCTGCTTCTTTAAAGTAAATTTTGGGTGGTTTTGTCTTTGATGTAAGCAAAGTGTGGGTGAGCTCCCAGCAGCTCCTATGAATCCCCTCTAGCTCAGCCCTGCTCCTGTTTTGTCCCTGTTTCCCAGTTTTTCAGTTTGTGTCCTTTCAGAAGTTTTCACACGTGGTTCTGTTTAAGCATCACTTTAACAGAAATCCTCACTCCTGGCCATTGCTAAACCTTGTTAAATCTGTGTGAGCTGTGGGACAGTTTCAGGAGCCTGTGTCAGCTCGTCTGGCCCTGGGCACACATGGCTGGAGGTTGGCTGGGGAGTGGCTGGAAAATTTCTTTTAGAACACGCTTGTTTCTCTCTTCCTAGGAACTGTCTGCTCAGAGCAGCACAGAAAACACGAGAATGGCCTCGGAGGTGAGTGCTGGGACTGGGAGAAAGGTGGGAGTCACGGGGGCTGGGGATGGGGAGGTGGGGTCACAGTGAGGGAGGGCAGGGGAGGAGGAGGAGGAGCAGAGTAAGGCTTGGAGGGACATGGGGAGGGCACCCGCGGGCAATGGGCAGTGCTGTGGGCAATGGGCAGTGCTGTGGCTGGGTGGGCAGTGGGCAGGGCTGTGGGCAGTGGGCAGGGCTGTGGCTGGGTGGGCAGTGGGCAGTTGTGTGGGCAATGGGCAGGGCTGTGGGCAGTGGGCAGTGCTGTGGGCAGTGCTGTTGCAGGGTGGGCAGTGGGCAGTGCTGTGGCTCGGTGGGCAGCAGTGTGGGCAGTGGGCAGTGCTGTGGGCAGTGCAGTGGCCGGGTGGGCAGTTGTGTGGGCAGTGGGCAGTGCTGTGGGCAGTGCTGTGGGCAATGCTGTGGCCGGGTGGGCAGTGCTGTTGGCAGTGGGCAGTGCCTGTGGGCAGTGGGCAGTGCTGTGGGCAGTGGGCAGTGCTGTGGGCAGTGGGCAGTGCTGTGGGCAGTGCTGTGGGCAGTGGGCAGTGCTGTGGGCAGTGGGCAGTGCTGTGGCTCGGTGGGCAGCAGTGTGGCCTGGTAGCACGTGGGCAGCAGTGTGGCTCTTGCAGGTGGCTGCACACAGCCCTGGGGGACAGCACAGCCCTGAGCAGAGATCCTTCCGTGAGAGGCAGAAGTATTTTGAGATGGAGGTGAAGCAGCAGCACCTGGACAAGCCTCCCAAGCGTGTGTCCTTGGTGGGGGAGGACGACCTGAAGAAGATGAAGGAGGAGGAAGGTACAAGGGAATGTGTGCACAGAAGTTTGTCCTGTTTAGCGATTCCTTTCCCATGGAAATGCACTTCAGAGGCCCGTGGGTTATTGTAAGGCCTGGGAATAATTTGAAATAAGTGAATGTTGAAGAATTCCACGGATGCTCCACTGATCCCTTCTGGGTAGGTGGAAGTGCTGTAGTTTCAGGGTGTCCTGTATCATGGAATCACAGAATGCTTTGGGTTGGAGGAACTTCTAAGCCCACTCATTCCCACCCCCTGGCACAGGTAAGGACACCTTGAATTAGAGCAAGGGCTCCAAGTCCTGTCCAGCTTGGCCTGGGACACTTCCAGGGCTGGGGCAGGCACAGCTCTGGGTGCCCTGTGCCACCACCCTCCTTGGGTAGGATTCCTTTGCAGTTTCCCACCTTTCCCCGCCCTCTGGGAAGCCATTCCCCCTCGTGCTTCACTCCAGGCCCTGTCCCCAGCCCCTCTCCAGGTCCTGAAAGGCTGCAGTGAGTTCTCCCTGCAGGCTGAACAATTCCAGGCTGAGCAATTCCAGCTCTCACAGCCTGTCTCCAGAGCAGAGGGGCTCGGGATATTCTGCTACCCCTGCTCTGGACTCTGTCCAGCAGCTCTGTGCCTGCAGCAGTGACACTTCAGTGACATTTTCCAGGCACTGCCCACAGTGAGTGTGTGCCAGCTGCCAGGTGAGTGGCACCCTCGCTGGCACAGGACTGGCAGCAGAGCTCTCAGACCTCTCCGTGCTCACTGTGCTGCTTTAGGAGGTAAATTGCTGGTCTCGTTTTTGATGTAATCTCCTCCTGCTTGAGAGTTGTTTGAGGAGGTGATAAGGAACAATGTGAAGTGGAAAAAAGCATTTTTACTGAACTCTCCAGGCACTCCTCTCCAAACCATACCTGGACCTGGCATTGTGCTGTCCCAGCTGTGGAACCTGGCATTTGCTCTGGTTAAATTTCATGCCAGTAATGGTTGCCCAATGTCCCTCCCAGCCTGTCTGGATCCTCCTGTGAGGCCTCATGGCCCTTGAGAGAGTCACCAGCACCTTCCAGTTTGGCATCATCAGCAAAGTGACATTGTTGCATTCAGCTCCTGCAGCCAGATGAAACTATTAATAAAAATCTTGCCCTGAACTGGCCCCAGGCCTGAGCCATGAGGAACATCCCTGGGGACTGGTAACCTGCAGGACACCTGACCCAGAGAGCACCTGCTCCTGTCTCCTCCTGTCCCTGACCCTCTCGTGACTTGTGTGTTCAGACCAGAATTGTTCCCAGGTCACTGCCATGCATAAGAACCTGGCCAGAGGTGCCATCCTGGGGGGCTCAG